CTTTGGCTTGGGTCTTGCCCTCGTGCGGCCATGAGGGCCTGGGGAATCCCCGTCGCAGCCGTCTTCATCCTGCGCTTTCTTGCCATCTTCCTGAGTATAGGCGTCGACTCTTCTTGCCTGACGACCGACCGACCGAGGAGGAGGAGGAGGAGGAGGAGGAGGAGGAGGAGGAGGAGGAGGAGGAGATGGATAGAGCAAGCGAGAGGAGGAGAGAGGAGAGATGCTGAGGGAGGAGGCGGTTCAGGACGAAGAGGAGGATGAGGAGGAGGATGAAGAGGAGGATGAGGAGGAGCATGAAGAGGAGGAGGAAGAGGACGTTCAGGAGGAAGGAGGGGGAAGGGGGAGGAGGGAGTGGGGAGAAGGAGGCGGAGGACCAGTGTAAATCCATGCCGCGTCAACGATGTTGCAATAACCAATCCCTCCAAATTCCCTGTTCATCGGTCCCACAAGAAGTGATTCTCATTGCGGGAAGTGGAAGTGGCCCATTAGAATACAACAATCTGAGAGCCCTCAATCGTGCCCAAACACCGTTCCTGGGACTTCAGCGCCGATCGTGGATGTTGCGTCTCGACATGGCAATCCGAAACCGTGGCAGAACATCACTCCTGGGACTTTGACAGTGCGAGCCCTTGAGGGTGTTGCAGCCTTGCAACGAAATGTGCGCGGCACGAAAACGAGAACCACATCTCGAGGCAGACTGGTGCGTCTCGGCATGACAATTCGAAACCGTGGTAGAACATCACTCCTGGGACATTGACAGTGCGAGACCCTGACGGTGTTGCAGCCTTGTAGCGAATATGCGCGGCGCGAAAGCGAGAACCACACCTCGAGAAGGAGCCGATCTCTACCCTGGGAGTTGTTGCGACATTGTAAGACGAATGCGCGCGGCACGAACGCGAACCCCATATTCTGGAAACCACCCGCCCTCCATGCGTGAAGCCGTTGCAGATTTAGTTTCATCAAACCTGTTGGACGAATGTGGGGGGCGCAGAATCAATAACCATTTCTCAAGAACCACCTACCCTCCATCCGTGAAGCTGTTGCAAACCTTTACGACGAATCTACGCGGCGCTAGAATTGTAATCGCATTTTGAAAACGACCCGCCAACATCCGTAAAGCTGTTGCAACTTTTGGAGATGAGTGTGGGCGGCGCTCAAGCGAGAACCACACTTTGAACATGACCTGCCCGCAATCCGTGGAACTGGTGCAAATCTTAGACTTCAGGAACAGAAATGGCGAATAAAACTCAAACGAAACGCCCAACCCGCCATACCGACACGTCTGGGGGTGCGACAGCGAGAAGTTATTTATAAGGAACAGAGATGGAAAAGGATGAGGAGGAGGAGGAGGAGAAGGAGGCGGAGGAGGCGCTGGGAGGAGGGGGAGGAGGAGGAGGAGGAGGAGGAGGGGGAGGAGGAGAAAGAGGATGAGGATGAGGATGAGGATGAGGATGAGGATGAGGATGAGGATGAGGATGATGATGATGATGATGATGATGATGATGATGATGATGATGATGATGATGATGATGATGATGATGATGGGGGGGAGAAGGAGGAGGTTCAGGGGGAGGGAGGGCGGATACGACTCGCCATGGAGGGCGCTGAACGTGCACACGACGCCCGCGACCCCCCCCCGCCCTGTGTGTCACGCGACGCCAGCCAGGGGCCCGCGGAGACGGAGGAGAGAGGGAGGGACAGATAGGGGGAAATGGCAAGCTACGGTGAGGGCATCAGATAAGGAACCAGTGGGTAAAGAATCCAGGGTCTGGAAGCCCGTGGGGATTAAGTCGTGGTTTGGCCATGGATATCACTGCCGCCCTCATCAGGTAAGGCATTCCGAGACCTCCTGGGCGCATTCCTTAGCCAACGCCCTCGCCGTAGGTGCGCTCGCGCGTCATCCCACCCAGCCCTTCACATTGAACTAATTTTTTCTCGATCCGCCGACAGGTGTCGTCGAGGAACCTGGAACCTCCCGAATGACACCAATCGTGTTATGCGCAATCAGAAAAGGGAACCTGTGTACATTGGAGGAGGATGTGGCGGATGAGCAGATGGATGAGCAAGAGAAATGGTAGGATGAGGAAGGAAGAGGATGAGGAAGACCAACAACAAGAGTAGGAGTCGGAGGAGCGGGAAGAGCCGGAAGACCAGGGGAAGGCGAAGGAGGGAAAAGGGGCAGGGAGCCGACGATGAGGAAGGACTCGGATCCAGAAAAGGGGCCCGCGCTGGGGCGAGGGCGTCATCCTGAAAGACGGGAGCACAGCGCTGATCCTAACATGGGGCCCACCCTCCAACGGGAGCACCATCTTGAAGCACCGAATACATTCCGATTGGAGCAAGCCACCATATCCGCGGGCCCTCTTGTGGGGCCTCAGGCTCCGCGGATTAGGCTTGTTGCTCCCTGCGCCAGTTCCAGTTTGCAGTCTCCAAATGTTGAAGTCCCTCCTTCTGCTTCCTACGGTGAATTATTGAAATCCGCGCGAGGGGGGATCCGAAA